ATTTCATTTACTCTTTTTAACGCTGTAGCCTATGAAGTCACGAGTGAGCTCTTATTTTACACAACTGCCCAGATCTGCTCGTAATAGCATTTCTTGGTCGGAAGTAAAACGGGTTCAAGGTTAATTCTAGGACATACGGTCCTTGGTTGGATATCAGAGATAGTGAGAGTATCTGACGGCAGTACGGATTGTGTTTATGCTGATTATCGTCAGTTCGACATCAACGGGTATAGGTCTAGGAATCTTTAACCGACTTTGTCTTGTCTCTCCTCTCCGGCTGTTACCGATTCCCGTACATTTCTTCGATGTCTGATTTTAGTCCCCGGTTTCATAGGTAATTTGGTCTAACTCTTACGTTCTTCTCGTGAGAATTCCAAGTTGGAGCTTAGTTCGCACCACAGTTTCTGTCATGTGTCTTAGGAGACTTTAATGTCTATCCACAATTCCCTTTTAATATGGAAGCTGTCTGGTTCTCTGCCTCTGTTCATTATTATTGTACACAAACAGCTTATTCATATATAAGTTTCGTTATAAAACCGTTCCGCGTTTCATGAGAAACGCAATCATACAGGAGGGTTCTTATCATGTTTACCTCCACCATAGTTGAACAGGTTCCACAATATCTAGAAAAATAATAATTAAACTCTAGAGAAAAATATAAAACGGGAAAATCAAAACATACGCCTACGTCAATACTTGTGTCGATTTTGAAGGAAAATAAGGGTGAATAGGAATATATTTAACAAGCATAAACTTTAAGAGAAATCGATAATGTATTATAACAGACGGTTATATAGACACCGGAACTTTGTTTTTATCAATCATTGGTAATCGCACCGGTTTTCATTAGGCCAAAAACCACATTGGGATTAAGAGTCGTCGATCAAACTCTTTAACTGGATTATAGTTTGATTGCGATGGAGACTTGCTGGAAGTCAGCTGCACAGTGTCGATAGAGGATAATGGAGAAGTTCTGAAGCCAGTTTTATAAGTTCCCGAAATCGATAGAACATTTTCCTTATTGCGCAGGTAGTGTAATGAGATGGTAGAGTTTGAAGGAATGGATATCGAAGGGTAAGTGATCGCTTATAAGCCGGTGGATGAAGACAAGGTTAATGAACCTGATCTACTTGAGTTGTTAACATCTGTAGTGACAATCTTTATTTTCTGAATGCCCTAGAAGAACTTCAGATAATCCTTGAAAACCATCAATTTTCATCACATCAGTATGTCAGCAGTTACGGTAAACTAGAACGCCTTATATATATATAATATATATATATATAGTAAATTTTTGATACGATGCAAATGTGGATTTGGTACTATAGAAATTCATCGTTATAAGTCACACGAAGTTTCTTCATTGAGTTACCTCAAATGATATGTGCTCTGAAAAGTTCAACCTGTCCCTATGCTTTGCACCAAGATTATGAACAATATTATGTGGTTTCAGTGGGTGTTTTTGTGGAGCCATATGAGGATTAGGGCTTAGCTAAAGAAACTCTTTCCCTGCTCCTCATCAGAGACACAAATCTGCACAAACATACAAAGCTTCAGAGTCAAAGTCTGCATGAACTGATTGATCTACACTTAACACCGTATTTTGAATTCAACAGCAGAGTCTACGAACAAACAAAAGGGTCACCAATGGGATCACCAATATCAGGACTTATCGCGGAAGCGGTAACAAAGAGACTAGAAACGTCGATTTTACCAGTGATCAAGACGAAAATGTCGGTTCGCTATGTAGACGACACATTCGATATTATCAAAAGGAACGAGCTGGAGAACATCTAAAATCAGATCAAAAACGTCTTCGATGACATTAAATTCACAATGGAAAAGGAAACAAACAACAGCCTATCATTCCTGGATGTGCTACTCACCAGAAATAAAGCAAGAAAACTGGAAACTCAAGTATTTCGGAAGCCAGCCCACACAGACGTAATTCTCAACTACGATAGCAACAACCCAATAACCCACAAAATCATCTGCATACAAACTTTGTTCAAGAGAGCGAAGACACACTGTAACAAATACGAAGCACTAAAAAAACGAGGTAAAACATATGACTATCTTCCAAAAATGGCTATCCAAGCAACTTCATCAAAAGAACATCAACCGAAATCATCTACAGAAGCGAAATCAAGTACAGGAACCAATAAACGGATCATTCTACCATACATAAAAGACATGTCGGAACATACAGCACCACTACTGAAACCATTTGGAATAAATGTGGCACACAAACCAACAGAATCACTTCAATCAATCCTATATAGACCAAAGGACAAAATTACAAAAGAAGAGAAACCAAATACCATCTACAAAATAAATCGCTCAGACTGTGAAAAACACCACATAGGACAACGTGGACAGCCTCTTCAGCTTCGTTTACGAAAACATCAGTTAGCAGTCAAAGGCCACTACAATTCTTCGCTTATATCAATACGCACCGACAATTATGGACAAACATTTGATTGGAACAGTGTGGAAATACTGGGTAGGGGAAAGAAAAAGAACACTAGAGAATTTTTAGAAGCTTGGAACTCAGGTCAATCAGCAATCAACAAACACATCGACATTGACCCAATTTATCAACCAATCAGGAGAATCATAGGTGACACTGGATCAAGAAACAGATCAAAAGAGGTAGGCAATCAAAACATAGTTGCAAACAACAACAGGTCAAAGGTCAACAGCAACCGGTCAAGATAGAGGTTAACAGACTAAGCTACAGGTCAAACGTGGAGAAATTCGAATGCTTCACTTCCATCTCAAGTTTGTGCTGATGATGTTGTTCAGACGGACAATGAAAGCTCCACAACCAAAACATCCAGCTCAGAGAACCAAACCCCACAACGGTTAGAGCTACACCCAACCTAGATATGTGTAGCTAGATAACCAATGCGCCACCATTCTAACACCAATTCATTAGGACAAACAAAAAAGTCGGTCCAAACTGTTTCGTTATAAGCTTAATAGATTTAGGAATATACCTCATAAGCCATAATTTAAATGATCTAATTTTCAAGAGCTACAAATTGCAACATTTCAAATACTCGGCCAGAAGATACAGGTGGGTTACAACACGTCTGAACATTTTACTAACGTTTCACCAAGTGAATAGTAAACTCCTTTGAATTAAGAATCGACCCTCCTCATGACATATTTCTGCACTTCTGGAGACCTTATTTCTCACATATTCTCTGTCCATTCCTCATTTACATCTCAGTAATAATGAGTGTAACGAATGAACAGCTGAAGTAAACTGCACCGGTCATGACTTTGTAGTGGTATACTTTTACGAAGAAAACACAATTGTTGAAATATAAACATTTATTATTGAACTTAATTCTGACGATAATTGTAATATTGTACACCTCTTGTTTTTCTCTACAAAAAGACTATCTCTCGCGCTCCAAGCGCGTCTTTGCTTTTTCTTTGCCTTCTCTCCTCGCTCGTTGTTAGCCGCTCGTGCACCCTAGTCTCGTGATTATTTCGATATCACAAGGCTAGCAATAAATATAATGTTTCATCTAGAATCGTGTTTTCTCTGATTTCTAGATTGACGGGATTAACATTTGTTATCCCGCAAAGTGGTATATTTATTTGCTAGTACTACAACTTCTCACTGGAATTCGGAGAAACTTTCTTATGAAGCGATTTACTAGTGAGCTTATGATAATTCGCATGCTAATTGATCGATTCATGATTTCAACAAAGTAACTCAACAATCTCCACAAGCAAAAAGAACCAGTGGCTTACTCAAGACTCAGTAACATCAAACTAGCAATATTCTAAAATATGAGGACGATCTGAGAAAAATATTTGCAAGAATCAGCAGCAAGGATACTACACAATATGGTATTATGGCGAGGTTACCTCTACACAACCCAGCAAGATTGATTTTACACTTCTAATCGTACATTGAGGTGTTGTACACATTATGATGATCATGGACAAGGGAGAAAGCAATACAGAACCAGTGAGATCAGTTAATTCTTGTGAATTCCGTTTCAAAACACCTCCACAAAAATTTTTCATTGCCTAAAGTGAGATTACAATTTTTACGAACAATTGGATACGCTATGAAATAAATCTTTCATCTAATTTCCGTATATCATTCTTAGGCTAATCCTCTTAGTGCGTTGGCAGTAATAAGCAGTCAAATGAGTATTCGGCTCGATAAATTTGTTTCATACATTTACCTGAACAGACGGAAAAGAAAATACGAAGAGAGGCGGAGGATGTGAGTCAGTCAGGCCAATGTGATTAGGCATGATTAAAAACTTAGAGTCAAATAAAAGTTGGTTCGGCCAGTGATAAGCAAGTAGGCAAGACACATGCGCACTCAAGTAAAACCAGCCAGTGAGCAATCGTTAAGGTCGAAATATACGTGAATAATTCGGGAAGAATGGATTAATTAAGGTTTCGAGATGGTAGGACAAGCTATGCGGTCTGGTTTTAGTGCACACCATAATTTATCTTGGATTACTCTAAATCCTCAGTACCTCATGTTATGAATCTCAGTGGACCTTTTTTAAGAAAGTGACTAGATAGCCAGTATTCCAGGTCGTTCGCTATCCTCATCATCCTGACTTAATATCTTTCAGCAAGTTCCTTCGTTAAAAAACGAAACGATTACCAAGTAACAATTATTAATCTACTCAGTTAGTGGCAACATTTATCGTTACTATACGTTATAAAGTTGTATCGTCCCCATCCTGTACTGGTTAGAAGTTTTCCTGAAAAGCTGAATTGGTTTTAGTAGGTTTTATTGGGGCCGTCAGGTAATCGAAATTGTGGTACCAGCTGTTTTATGGTGATTGTTATGCATAAGCTTGCAGTATAACCAAGAAAAATAGATAATAAGTAGTTATCGTTGTTGCTATTCTAGCAATTACTTGATATTCTTCACCTTTCCAGTAGTCATTACATCCAACCAGATAAGTTGTTCTTTCTTTTATTGGTTTGTTTCAATGGACTTTATGATTCAGCGCTAACTCAACTGTTTGGGGTTGGTGGTATTCTTCGTTGTTAAGATGACGACTCTTGTTGATGCGATACAGAGGAAACAGGAAAAGTTGACTGAAAGCCATATTTTAGTTGGTCACATTCAAAAAGCATGTAATCGTGACGGAGTGAATATCTTATTTCCTACTCGGACATTAACGATGGACTGTCAAGATATAAAGAGTATTGGTTGCAAGGATGGGTTATTAAAAGCGGCTGAGCATGTAAGGGAGTTAGATTTGGCATGTAACCGGTTATCTTCTTTTGAAGAGGTGTGTGGTTTTGTTTATTGCTTTGTTATATTGTAGTATACAGCTCGATTTTAAAGTATATTCACTAATAAGCCTATACTCTAAAATAAATAATAAATTCAACCAAATGACAGTAAAGTTAGCCGGTTACTAATTTATATCTGACTTCTGACAAGTCTTGTGTCCGTATCCAATAAAGAGGGGTCCAAAATAATAAACTTGTGTAATGTCAGGTGTAATATAGTCATTGTAAGTAGTTTGTGGTAATGATAGTGTAAAATGAACCATTAAAATGAGACTTTGCGGTAACTACGACAAAATTAGCTGGTTATAATCGTCCAGCAAAAGCATAAGATACAATAATAGTACTAAAAGTATAAAACAGTACCTTACATGCTTGTTTCGAAATTTTTTGAACCTCATCACCTATATTCAGTATCAATATTGACGTTTCCATCCTTCGGCACCGTATATAAAAAGCCCATTTAAATTCACGACTCGTCTTGTCATCACGGACTGAATGTATCATTCAGTATAACACGAAATACTTATGGACCAGTCCCAAAGGGGATTTATGTAGCACTTATACCTAACAACTCAATCCCTCACAAGTACCTTAAGCCCTTAGTACCAATAGAATGGGGCTCTAACTAAAAATGTTAATTAATACTGTTCGTACTGAGTTGATGTAGACTTTCAGCTAAATATAAGATTAAAACATTTATTCTCGTAATTGTTACCTATTAATATTAATTTCATGTAGAAATTATATTTTACTCTGTAGGCAGAAAAATACGTCGTGTATTTTTATACTTGATGGAGAACATCTCAATCATTGTATCCTGATTCTTTGACCACAACACAAAAAGTATAACCAGATAAGACAATGAACATTAATGTTCGCTTTTTTTATTAAATAAGATCAAAAATTCGTTTAAATCAGGGGATTAATACTAAAAATAGATCACAAGCTTATATTTTTTGGACTTTTTCAAGTCCAGAGTACAGGAACTTACAGAAAATGGCTTGTAAATATCAGGAACCGTCCTATAGACTTATATGTTTGAAATTCATTATCGTTTCGCGAAAGTTTCCGGCTGGTAGCTCTATCATCAATACTGATAGGCAAACACCCTTATTGGCATAAAAGTCATTTATTCCAAAACCTTCAATAAATGCTTTAAAGTTCCCCATTTTTCGATTATGTGTGAATATATTTAAGAAACTGCATAGAATCTTGCACCAAAAAGTTTAATAACTAGGAAATCTTATGAAAGCAATCAGCTGGATACTTCATTAGTGAGTTTGGTTTTAAATTCGTAAATTGGCTTTCACCGTTTAGATAGTCTCCCCTCCAAATGCCATAGTATAGCCGAGAGTGGACAGTCTGCTCTCGATTCTCAAAATGCTCTCACATGGTCGCGCGTATGTCTCCTCTATCATAGCTGTCGTACTCGCTGTCTTCTTGTGGTGGAGTTGTTTGCGAAGCTGAGATAACAAAAACTGAGTGTCAAGCACTTTAACCTAGTTGGTTGGTACTAAGCACCGACCTATTGGAGTCGAAAAACTCTGATTCCTAACTGGTGGTGCATATGGGCTCCAGGATCCTGATGGAACAAATGGCATATTAGCCTATTGTTGCTCATGGAGTACTAAGAGACAACGTCTACTTACGTCGCCTCATTGAGGATTAGACTAGGTAGAAGGCACGGGGTTTAATCCGCTAAAAAAATCCACCAACTTCGGTTTTGGTGTCTGGGAAGTATGTTAGCTAACTCATCAATTTAATAACTTGTATGGCTCATAAATATTTAGGTTCCCTTTTGTACTGTTGTTTGAATCAATTCATAAATGTTTACGCTTAATGAATAATCTACAACAGTATTGTAATATAAAAATATTTATTTATTTTCTATTAATATCTTATGATGTCTACATGTTGCCTGTTTTTTTTTTTTTTTCATCTCTTAGGTATTTAAACTACTTTGTTGGCTTGAAAAGCTTGAATCATTAAATTTAAGTCAAAATCCTTTAGGTTATCATATTTCATCAGATAATCACTCGTCTAATTCATCTTTTGATGAAGATACCATTCATTTGTTATCTAATGAAGGAGAAGAAAATATTCAACCTATGAAGAATAATAGTTCTGAATTATCAATTGAAAATCAAAATTATCATTTTTTCAATAAATTATCATCAACATCCTCATCATCATCAACAACAACATCATCATTCAAATCGACTAAAATACTTCAATCGACGAAACACAATGCAAATGATTTTTCACCAACTTTTCATAGTGATTCAATGGAAACAATAAAATTATCTCATCATTTAAATGGTAATGATAGTAGTGTTGGTTGTTGTAATGGCTATTCTAAACAAACAATAGAGAATGAATCATCTACTATAAAAATGCTACCAAAGGTAAATGTTCTCTATCAATTGTTATCTTTAAATCATATTTTCTCTATCGATTGGTTATGGAGATCACTTTGATTTTTAGATTAGACTCAGATAAGTTCCATCTTTGAAAAAAAAAAGCCGATTAGCATTGGATAACCATTCTTTCCAATTTTGAGATTCCTCAAACGTTGTATAGTTACAACCGTGTTGGAAACTAGATTCTCTTAGGAAATTGATTCGTGAGTAGTTTCCCGATTGAGATTGATGCATGATGAAAATCAATCCAGAATCGCTTTTAAGTTAGTTGCTGCTTGGATTTATGTGTATGAAGCGCGACCTGATAAATTATCGTAGAGCATGTGTTAGTTATTAGTATCAGTTACGGTTATCTTCGAATTATTTCTGGAGTCTAATGGAATTATCACTTAAGTAGTTTTACTAAGATGTGTGAACCTAAAGGAAGATGTTAGGTTATTGAAGTTGTACATTTCGAATGGTGAGAATATATGCTCTCGATGTTGAAGCACCTACCTCTAAACACTGTGAAGATTAGCATGGGAGGCTGTAAGATTCTTTGCTTGAGTCTTCGTGATAACCATAACCAAAAGTTTATAAAGTAGGTTTTATGACTTGAATTCAATAGTAGGGGTGCATATTTTACTTATTTCTTGTCTTCAAACGAGGTTTCAGTACTGTATTTTACATTTTCTCTTGTTTCTTTTGTCCTCCTTTGATCTTTTTAATTATAAATGCTCTTAATGGTTTCATTTTTTGCAGCAATACCTAAACTTAATGAAGGGGAGTGAAGTAGTTGAGTGTATCGGTCACTTTAACTACCAAATTACGTCTTTTGTAGCGTTGTTGGAATTTTCGTCTACCATCTAAAGAAACTATAATTTGCAATAGTTCACTCCATTCTACTCTACGGTTGTGAAATGACCTTTAAAAGTAAACATTACTAGTGTTTAATCACATGATTTTTAATCATTACTCGTATGTATTAGGACTATTGATGGGTAATACATTGGGGGTTAGAATCAGAGTAGGTGAGGATAACAAATCAGTTAATGAGATTGTAAATATTTATTGACTTAGACGGGTAGGACATGAATTACGAATACCCTTCCACGGACTAGCTCGACAGGCTATTAGAGCTGGTGTGGGCTTAAGTGAAAAGAGAGCTAGTGGCGGTCAAATCAAGACATATCAAAAGTCCATGAAGACACTATTGAACTAAGCCATCTAGGTACTTGTAAACTAACTTCTTGGAATCATATGTTCAACGTATCCAATGGTTAATGACTTTGAATGATATAGCTCACCATTGTTCACAATTGTTCAGGTTTATTGATTCTTTGTTTTCCCATACTAAGTTTCTTAACTACCCTTAGCAATTTTATGGTTTCCACATTTTCTTCTCAAATAGTATCTTCTATGACTAATACTTCCTATTACCATCAATAATGTTATCATTTCTACTATTCCAAGAATTACCTTGGAAATTTCATCTCACTAATAAAGTTAATAAAATGCAGTAACTGGAACCAGTTTATACATGTCTCGTGTGCTGTTACGGGTGTGAGGGCGGTCAACATTTCCCGGCTGCCCACACCGTGGAAGGGTGTTTCTTGAGGGACCTGAAAAGGAAGATGGATTAGTGTTGGTCTTGGAGATCTGGAAGCGTGACCGCAGAGTCCAAGGGACAACTGCTTGAGGCCGGTCACACACGGCCTTTTTATGAAAGGTTTTTTGAGGATTAGCTCCGCTCTTAAAGGTCCTTAGTGGGCACCCTTAACGCCGGAGACGGAAATCCGTAAGGTAGAGTGAGGTGTGACATTTTTAGGGCCGACCTTTTCTAACCCTTCCTTCCTTGTGAGAAAGCAGCATCGCTGCAGATGCTGGTTATCCGAGGGAAACACCTTACTGCTGTCACACCCCTCTGCAGTCAGCAGTACGACTTCGCCCTCAGACCTTGGGTAGCTGCTTTTAGTCTCATCGTTCTCCAATCGACCTGCCTGGCATGGTAGAACCTTCAGGATCATAAGTTCGAGCCAGTATAGCTCGGTTGGGTCATCATGATAGGCAAGCCCGACCACCACGTCAAGGTAGCAGCTTCGGTCGGGAGTTTATACATGTAGCAGATTCCTTTGTTGCATAAAACTAACTGGGTGATTTTTACTACACCATTTATTTATTCATTTATATATCAGTGTCATATCTGACAAATTATTATTGATATTTTTATTAGGTTCTTGATTTCATCACAACTATAAATTTGCATTGAATTCTCTTCATTATTATTATTATATCTATCATATTTTTTCTACTACTACTTTAAAATGACCTATAAATTAAACAACATGTGTTCAGAAAGAAGTACACATCGAAAAAAAAACCGATGAAATTAATTGTAGTTAAGAGTTTAGTTCAATGGTAATATTTTATTTTTGCTGAATAATGAAAAAGTACATTTTTTTTTCTCTTTCCTTAGCCGAATATATCCTACTGTTTTTTTTTGTACAAAACTTTTATTGTTATTATGATGATGATGATTGTTACTTTTCTATTCGCCATAAACTTGTGTAAATTTTTTTTTGTATTTAACTCTCTCTCGCTTTATTGTTTATTCACAATTAATTTCCAATGCAAATCTCTGTATATTTGCATCAATAATAACAACGACATATATATATATATATATATATATATATATATATATATAAGGAAGTTGATTGTATAATCAGGTGATTGGCATGATTTGCTCGAGCGAGAAATTTCATTATGTCATCACATGACCAATCAATTTGTATGTATGTGTGTACGTGTGTCAGTGTGTTCGTATGGTAGTATTTCAAATTTTGGTTCACTGATCCAATTCTCACGTGTTTCATTTCGTACATATCACTAATTAAAACACTAGTATTGAACAGTGGAATTTCAATTGGTGCATTTTAATCCTCCTCATTTATTTTGTATTACTGATTGGATTTCTTTTTGATTTGATCAATGTGTTCAATATAAGTTTGAAACTAGTTATCTTATATATTCCACTTATTTGAACATTAACAAATCATATTCATTACAGAGTAAATAAAGAATCTGTTTACTACTGAGTTTCTTTTTTTGGATTAGTACAAGTGTCACAATTATTTAAAGTGTTGTTTTGTAGTTAGCATAAGTTGGAAGAAATTTAGAAGTGGCCGAATTAAGATTTAATATCATGCTATGAAGTTATTGATTACTGATCTGAACCATGTTGGTGGGTGTAGACTACACCTAATTACAGTAGTCGTAATAGCCTTTATTTAGTGGTTGGAAAATCTGAGTGACGTGACGTGACTCGGAATCATTCATATTGATTGCCGTTGCACCAATTATATATTTCCTTCGAGATCTTTAATGCCACCATTCATATGTACGTATTTCTAAAATCCTTCACCTTGAATCTTATTCTCAATGTTCAGCCTTACTATGATTGTTTTGACCTCTATGTTTATTCAGAAAACCTCTCAATAGTTTAAATTCTGCAATGTGTAGAAAAGTTTTAATGGACTTGAGAAAAAGATGTAAATTATACAGTAGAAGAACTTAGCTAATCAAATTTAAAATTGGTCTGACTATTAAAATGAATGTATTTTCTAAGATTTATTATCAGTATTATAATTGTTTTTCAATTTTCTTTCCACACTTCATTATTTTTTTAATGATTATTTTTGACTTTGTTGATTTATCGTTTTCTGTTTTTCTCTAAAATACTACTGGTATATCTGTATTATAGTACGGTGAGTAATATGAAAGTATACAATTCTTGGAGCTATCATATGGAAGGTTACCATTTTGATTGTTACATTTTTTTATATTCTTTTATGAATAAGCTCTAATTAGATCGATGAATTTGTTGTCAGATTTATTGTTGATTAATTATCCCTTTATGATTCCGTTCTTTTTTTTGTATTTACTTATGATTGAATGATGTAACTATTGTGATTTCTTGATTGTGTTACTGTATAATCATATATTTCAGGTATATCATTGTATAAGAGTTCGATTATTTATTTAAGCAAACGTAAAGTATGCCACTGATTGACCTTGTGGTTTTAATCTTTTTTTATTCAATCCGAAGACGATTAAGATTAAGATACGGATTTTAGGATCCTGGCAATATAGTTAATGTCATTTTGTGATGGGAAGCCTAATCTTAACCGCTAATTCCTGATCGTTGAAGAAAATTTCTCGCCTTTCTCTGGTTTGGTTGTATGCTTTACGTTAATTCTTCCAATGAGACCCTAGTTTAGAAGGGATTCGAGGACTAATAAACATTAGGGTAATGATTGTTACCCATTGTTCACAATATCATTTGCAAAGTAAAAGATCTCCATTGAAATCATGAATCAATCATTGTTAGACCGCCATTAGAAACCCAAAAGCACTAACCGGCCGTTTCCTTCTAGTATGAGACTTTCCAGCAGTGCGTATCCACGATCCACGCTCGAGCGTAGTCAGTAACTACCGAAGACAATGGGTGAGGTCGCGCAAAAGACCTTAGATTGCTCAAAGTTAGACACTAACTCTGTTGGATGTCTGGAGGTTAGGAGTTCGAGCGCGAGACCGAAGGTCCTGGATTCGAGTCCCGAATCCGAGGACCATGGATGCACACTACTGACATGTCCCATACTAGGAAGAAACGCCCATCCAGTGTTTCCAGTTTTCTAGTGGTGGTCTAACAATGGTTTACCAATGATTTTCATAGAAAAAAATAATCTCCATAACTCTATAATGAGAAAATAAAAGATCATTGAATCTACAGATAACGGGAGTGAAATAATCGACCATCAACCTGATCACACGAACCTCAATAATATAACTCAAACATTGGTACTTATTTCTTATCCTCGCTTATATCAACAACAATTCGAACTGATGCATTATAGATCAAACTTGATTATTATTATTATTATTATTATTATTATTATTATTATTGTATAATAACAGAGTAATAAACAATTTGATTGGGTTATCATTCACACAATTACGTTTTGTTCATATAAAATCTTATTTTTTTTTCTCGATTCAATTTATAGCATCTATCAACTCCATCTGAATTAGCTTTGAATTCTGGTATTATAACTCCGACAACATTATTTCCTTGTTTAAGTGTTTTGGCATTAAATTCAACATATATACCATGGCATTGGGTTATTGATCTGTTACATAGATTACCAAAGTGAGTTATTAAAAAAAACAATAAAAGGAGAAACTTTGTTATTAAACAATATTTAATATTTAGTGAGATGATTTATTTTTACTGACAGCTCGATTGGCTTTTGCCAACCTGCGTTACTTATGGCGTAGGCGTGATATCCGTTCGCTAACCAAAGGACGGGTGTACTGCTCAGCAGTTCGCTCCGTTCTCCTATATGGCTGTGAAACATGGCCAGTGAGAGTAGAAGATATTCGTAGGTTACTAGTATTCGATCATAGGTGTTTAAGAAGCATTGCTCGTATACCGTGGGCCAACCGAGTAAGCAATGCTGTCGTTAGGAAACGAGTACTAGGTAAGGATGGCAGATCAATGGATGAAGTGGTGAAACTTCATCAGTTGAGGTGGTTGGGACATGTGCTACGTATGGCTAACCACCGACTGCCTCGACGAGCTATGTTTTGTGGTGTAGGAGTAGGTTGGAAGAAATCTAGGGGCGGCCAGACCAAAACATGGCAGAAATCCATGAAATCATTGACTAGTGGACTGAGTCATGTTGGTAGATGTAGACTACCTGGTTGGGGTCCACGAGACGAAAGTCACCAATGGTTAGAGACGTTGAACGACATGGCTCAAAATCGTTTGCAATGGCGCAAGTGCATCCATTCTTTGAGCTCTCTCAAATCCTAATCATCTGGATTCGTCAGCACCTCTACCTTTGTCTTTCTAACCTTATCTCACTGAATGATACTTCTTGAATAATATCTTCGAACCCTAGTCTTCCTCAATACCATTAATACCTCTACTAGCTTTATCACTATAGGATTTGATTTGACATCTGCGTCTCTGTGCTGATGTGGTATGGCAACATGAACATGTACATACGTACGAAGTTCTACGTTGCAACTGACTGACTGACTGACTGCATGATTATTATTATTACTCTATAAAATCTGTAAAATATGTTTCCTATAAGGTTCACAAATGTTCACTATCGAAGAGAGGGAGAGAGAGAGAGTAATTCATACCTAGAAGAAAACATCTGTCAAGAGAACACTGTATTTTTCTCACAATAATTCAGCTGTATTTGACATACCAATGTTACTAACTCAAACTCATTAATAAACCTCACTGATTCTTATAATTTCGTTATGAATATTCAGTGTATTGTGTTGAAAAAATTTGTTGTACAATAATTAACTATAAACTGATTATTTATTGATAGTTGATAGAAGAGCCTGTACTAGTTCTGAGCATAAATTTTAAAATCCTTAAAGGTGACTGAAGCGAAAAAAGTTCAGTTAAATTTAAAATGGTTTGGATTATCTAGTTTTTGGCATTTTGATGGAAGTTTGATCCGTCTTAGTTGACATATGGGCATCCTATCCAGGTAGCCTTGATAGAGTTCTAATGACAAGTTTACATAGAATAGACTGAATGCGACTGGTGGCAGAATCCTGGACGCACATTTCTTCCTATTCGGAATACAGACGCACCATGCTGGTGTTTATCTAACTTAAATCCGTTCATAAATTCAATAAAACTCCGCCATCTCCTCAACCTCAATAGAAATTATCATGTACAAGCTAGTGACTAGCTTCGTGATGCAAAGCTGTGACCAATAGATTTCAACCGTGTTAGGTATGAGGCCCACTGAAGACAATGAATTGATTCCAGTTAGACAATAACACCGTTGGATGCAAGCTCAATAGTCAACAGGTCAGGCGTTGGCGCACGAGACTGAATATCTTTGGTTTAATTCCCGTCACGGGGTTGTGGATGTGCACTGCTGATGAATCCCATACTAGGATGAAATGGCTTTTCAAATCGGTTCCTGACTTCAGCTGTCATTTTAAGGAACTAATTAGTGAATGACATGTAAAATCATTCAATTATATATGTGTAATATATGAATATTGTATATTCAACTACTATATATATATATATATATATATATATATATATATATATATATATATATATATATATATATATATATATAATATTACAGCATTGATAAACAGATAATTATTTGTATACTTGACGTAATTCAGTTTACAAATTACTTTGTATACTTTACACAACTACAACCATAGTTACATAACTATTCATGAAACTAAGAAGCGCTCAATAACTGTTTCATCAACAGTACACATTTTCGATCTCAATATTTCGGGCTCAGTCCTAGGTTCGTTTTTTGTTTGCGTACTGCTAAGGATGAAACAACTATCTAATAATGCTTCGTACTTACTTTTCAACAATTATTAAGTCAAAGTTAGTCCATGATGAATCCTTCGATACAATACAACATGAACCAAACAAACCATAATTGATAGAGAAGCTTTGAAAAACCTAAAAACCTTTACATATCTGGGCAGTATCAGTAACAACAATTGGGTAGAACTCAAAAGGATGACCCAGGACAGAGTTGTTTAGAGAATGCTGATTGGCGATCTATACTCCATTAAGGGTAGCAGCCATAAGTAAAGTTTTTTTTTAAAAAAAAAAGTAACAATCCATAGTGTAAACTATAATAAAATTCAATCATCTCTATATAACACAACCAACTATCATCCTCCGCTTAATCATGTATTCATTAAAAATATATGTGTATTTAATCGTTGTGTTTCGTTGTGTTTCTCTTTAATCTTTTCAGTCTAACTGATTTACACGTTGCACGTAATAATTACGGTGCAGATGAACAGATTGATGAAACATTTTCCTATCATCATCATTCTCATCCCAATAATAATAATAATAATAATATTGACAATGATGATAACAATAATAATAATGATAATAATAATCATATTTATCCTACATCATCATTATCAATATTTCCTCATTTACATAGTTTATATTATAGTGATAATGGTATATCAAATTGGTGGACAATATGTCGTTTGTGTAAACATTTCCCTGGATTAGAACAATTAATTTTACTAGGTAATCCTATTGAACATATACCATTTCCAGAAGAGGCTTTACATACATCTTCACAAACTACTACTACTACCACCACTACTCATACTACTCATACTACTAATAACAATAATAATGACAATAATAATAATAATAATAATAATAATCCTGATAAACATACATCATCGAATCAACAGCACCAGCAGCATGATTATCAATGTATATTTCAAAATGTGCATACATTAGGTTTATCAGAAACATTAATCAATCAATGGGAAAGTATTGATGCTTTAAATGAATGGATGCCAAGTTTAACAAATTTACGATTAGGCAATAATCTACCGGTATTTCAAGTAGGTATTGATTCACTTTATTTATTTTTTTTTGTTTCTTTCGTTTTTTGGTTATTTATCTATTGGTACTGTGCAGTAGTTCACTCCGTCTTACTTTATGACTGTGAAACATGGCCAGTGAGAGTAGAAGATATTTGTCGGTTATTGGTTTTCGATCATAGGTGTCTTCGAAACATTGCTCGTATATCCTGGGACACCCGAGTGAGCAACGCTGTTATTAGGGATCGGGTGCTAGGTAAGAATGGCAGATCAATAGATGAAGTAATGAAACTTCATCAGTTGAGGTGGTTGGGACATGTGTTACGTATGCCTAACCATCGACTGCCTCGAAGAGCTTCGTTTTGTAGTGTAGGAGTAGGTTGGAAGAAAGATACGGGTGGCCAGACCAAAACATGGCAGAAATTTATGAAGTCATTGACAAGCGGACTGAGCCATGTCAGTAGTTGTCGACTACCTGGTTGGGGTCCACGAGATGATAATAATCGATGGTTAGAGACCCTGAATGACATGGCTCAAAATCGTTTACAATGGCGCCGGTGCATTTAATCTTTGTGTTCTCTCGAATCCTAATCTTCTTCAACCCCTCTAGTTTTGACTTTCTAAACTTTTCTCACTGAATTATACTTCTTGAATAATATCTTCTAATCCTAACCTCTTCGATTACTTCTAATTCCCTTACTACCTCTACTACTATTGGATTTGAATTGACAATTATATCTCTGTGCTGATGTGGTATGGCAACATGAACTGATGTACTTACTTACGAAGTTCTACGTTGCATCTGACTGACTGACTGACTATTCATCTGTTGGTATACTGTCTTCTTTTTTTTCAAATTTAATTTTTACAAAATTATTAACTTCATTTTATAAACTGATGCTATTTGAATAACTATGAAAGATTATTATAAATGATATTGAGTAGATGTCATGCTTGTTTAATTATTTTCTACGTTGACGCGCATGGTACTAATTGATGTCGTCGATGTTGGTATAATAAAAATATCTAGAGGAGATGAAATGAAATTATGAAATCATTTCATCAAGTAATTGATTGTTGTTGAGCCTGAGCCCTGTTGGATATAGTACAAACTGTCTGTTTGAGCTCCTCATTCGATTATCCATGATTAATGGTAGGATATGTTGGTTTAAATGGCCTAATGTATTTTATATTTCCTTAGATCTCTTCAGTTTTAAAATTATTTTATACTATTTATTCTGTCAATTCATCCATTCTTTTCGAATCACATTGTGGATTTATTTACTTATGCCTGTTACTCCTCATGGAGCATAGGCCTCCGACCAGCATTCTCCCCAACCGACTCTGTCATCGTCCTTTCTTTCCAATCCTATCCAATCGCTGTTCATTCTCTTCATGTCTGCATCCAATTCTCGTCGTAATTTGTTCTTCAGTCTTCCTCTTTCCCTTTGGCCTTGAGGATTTCAGGTGTGGGGGCTTATCTTGTGACGCAGTTGGGCGCTTTCCTCTATATATGCCCTATCCGCCTCCAATGTTTCTTCCTAATTTCACCCTTTTCTGTAATCTAGTTTATTCTATCCCACAGTAGGTTGTTACTGATCGTGTCTAGCTAACAGATCCGAAGTATCTTGCGTAGATAACTGTTAATAAATACTTGTATCTCCCGCATGATGGCTTTCGTAGTTGTCCACGTTTCTGCTCCATATAGTAGAAATGCTGCCCTTGTTTTGCCGATCTGTGTCTTCACATCTGCCTAAGACCCACCTTTTTTACCAATGCTGCTGCCCACGTATGTAAAGGATTTTAAATCCTCCAAAGCTTCTCGATCAAGTGTGATTTGGTTGGTTCATCTGGTGTTGGATCGGAGGATCTTGATTTTTCCCATGTGTTTCTTCAGACATACTGTTGCAGAGGCTACCGCTACACCGGTCATCTCCTGAATTTTTTGTTGTATGCGGGATAGAAGAGCTAGATCATATATCAAAATTCAGATCGTTCAGCTGAATATTGTTTACATCTAATCTAATTTATTCCCACTGATACTATCACGATTTCTACTATTGTGTGATTTGCCTTGATATATTTTCATCTAACTATGCTAATGTAATGTGACAACTTGAATCCATGCACATATTTGCCATGTCGCCTACATGTGTATTGTGCAAAGTAGTCAATATTAGATAGAATATATGTTTGTTTAAGGAATGTACGAAATATGTACACTTAGTATTTCATGAAATGAGGTTATTGATTCCTGTTCTATTCTTCTAAATACTCTGATCATTTTCTACATTCCCATCTCGTGACACTCTTCTCTTTGGTAACAAGTTCTAGGCAACACTTCACTGTATACTACTTATAAATCAACTTGTAAGTAGCATCTACCACACTAGAACTCAAAATCAAGTACATTCCATTTATATATTAAGTAGGCAAATGAATTAATCTTCTTTTTTTTTTCTATTAACTTTCAACAACCAAAAGCAACCCAAAAAACACTTATTTTGTATATTGTATTTCATATAAAACTCTTTATATGAAATATGAACTTCAATATCATAAGTACAAATTTAATTGTATTTTCTTCTTCTTCTTCTTCTTCCTTTTTCCTTTTAAAAAAAAATTCATTGTATCATTGTGTTTTTATTGTGATTATAAGCGGAATTAACTTGAATATTAATTGTTAATTATTTGCCAATATTATTATTATTAACAGCATTTTTTTTCGCTTGTTTAAAATGGGCACCAAAATTGTTCCGTATAATTCAAGGTCATCATCACCACCATCATCATTATTATTATCCATGACTTCATCACCCAAGTATAGAAATTGAAGAAAAAAAAGAGTGAAAAATGTAAAAGAATTTCTTTGTTCATTTACTTTTTTTGTTTAGAAATAAAAGCAATCATACTCATGATGATTACCGATAGATAATTAATTTATTACAGGTAGAGTTTCCTTTTTTATTATCTCTTGTTGGAGAAAGAGAGAGAGAGAGAGGGAGAGAAAGCAAGAACAAATAATCTCGTTTAGGTCTCATCAACTGGTTGGTTATAAGCTGTAATATTTTATTAACCATAATTACTAGTTATATTTAAATTACTTACATGATAAAGTTATGGTTGAAAGTCATCGGTATGATCATAGTATATATATGGCAACGATGTAAATAATTTAAATAGACTGAATAAAAGACTATATATATATATATATATATATATATATTACATAAGTTTAAAGGGTTAGAAACAAGTGATTACGTAATAGATATCATGATATGTTGATAACAAGTAAGAATAAAATAAATGAAACTCAGTTACTTACTTGCGCCTGTTACCCCCAATGGAGTATAGGCCGCCGACCAGTTTTCTCCAAGCAACTCTGTCCTGGGCTTCCCTCTCCAGTTCAGTCCAATGTTTGTTTATTCCTCTCATATCTTTCTCTATTTCTCGGTGTAATGTGTTCCTTGACCTTCCTCTTTTCCTCTTGCCTTGAGGGTTCCATGTGAGGGCTTGTCTCGTGAGGCAGTTAGGTGCTTTTCGTAGTGTGTGTCCTATCCACTTCCACCGCTTCTTCCTGATTTCCTCCTCCACTGGAATCTGGTTTGTTCTCTCCCACAGTACGTTGTTGCTGATGGTGTCTGGCCAACAAATCCGAAGTATTTTGCGAAGACAACTGTTAATAAACACTTGTATCTTCTGGATGATGCCTTTCGTAGTTCTCCAAGTTTCCACTCCATACAGTAGAACTGTCTTGACATTTGTATTGAAAATCCTGATTTTGGTTTTGGTTGAAAGTTGTTTGTAGTTCCAGATATTTTTCAACTGTAGAAATGCAGCCCTCGCTTTGCCAATCCGCACCCTCACATCTGCATCGGATCCACCTTTCTCGTTGATGATGCTGCCCAGATATGTAAAGGTGTCAACATCCTCCAAGGCATCTCCATCAAGAGTGATTTGGTTGGTGTATGTTGTGTTGCATCGGAGAATTTCGCTTTTTCCTTTATGTATGTGAAGTTCAGTTATAGTTGAAATAAAAAGACGTAGTGATGTATGTAAGGAAGAGACATTTATCGTCACAAAACAAAGAAAGACTAACTACATTCATCTCTTTTTGAGCATATAAATCAAGTTTCAGGTGCCTAATAGCAATATTCAATGTGTATTTATCGTCACCTTAGAAAAAATTCATTTTCCACTTATACACTTGTTTGTTTTGTTTTTGTAGAAGTAGATATATTACTTGTTAATGTAAATGATTTTCTTGATACATTAATAGAGTTACATTTCCACAATAATGATCGTTTCGTAAACGATAGTGAACCAAAAAATTACTCATTTTTAATGTTACAAAATATGCAGTTAACCAATGAATATGTAATACTTACTTACACCTGTTACCCTAAATGGAGCATAGGCCACCGACCCATTTCTGGTTAGCATTTTTTTTTAGCGAGTTAGCTTTCTACAGAATGGAGTCGCTAAGCCCCCATACCCAACCCTCCTCCTTTATCCAGGGCTTGGAACCGGCAGTCGTAACTCTAGAACACGACTCCAGGTGGAGTTGTACATGTAGAATAGTATCACACTTATAATTCAATATGAATAATATATGATACAAATTAATCTAATCTATCGAAAATGTATATGATAATCTGAAAAAAGCCTCAGCAATGCTCAAAATCTAAAGTTTATTTTATACTATATCGTTAATGAATTAGAGTTTGAAAGGGTCAATCATTTAGATACTATTTAAATTATTTTCTGATTAAGTGCTCCTTGTAAATAAACATTTACAAAATAACTGTTCAAACTGTGATAAGCACTGCATCGAACATAATGGATGTCTGCTTCAACTTTGCTTACATAAATTAGCAGCCAAACTCCATGACATATCTTCCCTTAAACCAAAACATACGAACAACTGTGGATATATATTCTATTGGGAAGAAATGTTGAAATATTGGATAGAGAATTTTTAAAAGTTTGTCATTCAAGTTAATTGGCAATTAACTTGATCTTGTTTATCAACTGACCTAGGAAAATCATAGGCAAATATAGAATCAAGAACCGAATCAACAGGGCGTAAAGTCAAAATAAAGATGCGGACAACGACTAGGTTAAAGGTCAGTGACAAACAACCAATCAAAATTGAGATCAACAAGACAAGCTACGAGTCATACGTGGAGAAGTTCGAATACTGTTCACTTTTATCTTAATTTTGTGCTGATGATATTGTTCAGAAGATTAGTAAAAGCTCCAAAACCAAAATATCCATCTCAGGAAACAAAACTCCACCATAAATGTATTCACTGTCTATGTCTAGATATGTTCTAATAAGAGTAAACTAGGACTAATGTATCATATTCTTTGGTGTTGGATGAAATCTAATGATGACTAAGCTAAAATTTGATGTTTACTGTTAAACTGAACCGTGTATACAGTCCTCTCGATTATCATTAACGAATGATTGAATATATTCGATGAAATCCCACAAATACATTGACTCAAAATGTTGAGCTTCAATGCACCTTCATACATACACATCCCTTTCCATTTCATCTTTTCAAATCATTGTGTTCAGTTCTTATTACCGGTTACAATTACATGATTTCTATCTATTTTCCGTTATTTATCTTGTTATTTTCAGTCTTGGATAGAACCGGATTGTCGAGCTCATGTAATTGCCAGATTACCAAAACTCACAACATACAATCGAAGTGTTATTGATTCGGAAGAACGTGAAAGTGCTGAACGAGAATTTGTTCGATATTATGGTCAAATTGATCCAGATCAACGTCCTAAACGGTTAGTTAATTAAAACATTTAGAATTTAGTTACAAGAAATCAGATTAGTTTGTTGAGTGCATTCATCACAAATAGAGTAGAATTCAGAACAAAAAAGCAGTGCATAGCTATTTCTTAAAATGTTGTAAAACTATATATTTAGAGTGTACACTGCGAAAAACAGTTCCATATTAGAATGAAACAATTGTCTAAATGCTTTTTGGGTTTTAATTGTAAAATACCTCAATTGAGATCAATCTGTAAGAAACAGAAATCGATGCAGTTTTTATTACGTAGGTCGACATATCTATAAATATACTTTTTTTTACAGTTACAGGATTCAGCTTTAGAATCCATACAATGCTATACAATTAAAATAAGTACGATTCATTTAGTTATTTCATTATAGGCTTGTGGAGACTGTTTAGGTTTCTTTGAAATCATGAGTCGATCAATCTTAGACCATCATTAGTAAACTGGAAGCACTTAACAGACGTTTCGTCCTAGTATAGGAGTCTCCAGCACTGTACATCCACGATCGCTGCCCGTGGGGCTCGAACCCAAGACCTTCGGTCTTGCGCACGAACGCTTAACCTCTGGACCATTGAGCTAGGATCTAACAGAGTTAATGTCTATCTCCAATCACCCTAATAATTATTACCCAAGTGTTTATTTTAATTATTAATTTTCCTGTAATCTATAATTTTTATTCATTTTTAGTTATTGGGCACTGGAACGTCAACATGGTCGACTTCAACCATTAGCCAATATTGATTTATCACCAAAACAACATATCCGTGTACGTGTTACAATGTCAGGAAAAGAAGTAAGTATAATTGAGTTATTATCTATCTATTGCTTTTTCTCTTTTTTTTTCGCAACTGTTTTTATGTCATAATCTTCATGAAATTAGTTCAAGCGAGGATTTATATGAATGTTTGCGATTTGAGAATACTGAGAGAAATCCTATTTCACTTTGAATCTATCAAAAGAAAGTGTGAAATTTCATTGTATCACAACTCCATACAAAGATAAACTGCTCAATAGTTTGGGGCTCGTCAGCTGAATGTAGGTGTTTAATTCGATTGTCAGCCACATGTCATCTATACTATATCGGCTTCTGTCATAATCACTGAGAGTGATCGAATTTCAGCAACTGGAAAATCCGAACTATCTTAAATTGAATTAAATATCATATTTGTTGCACAAGTCAGGTGGTATGATAACTAAATGGATAAGGTGATGATGTTTGACTAGAAAGACACTGGGTTCGAGTCCCAGAGTGAACAACAACTCTGATATGCTGGTAAATCTAGCTGCATTATCGATTCCATTACTATCCATATTCTATGTTTTCTACGTAAACAAACTGAAATTGAAAAAAAAGAAATCTAACCATCAGCCAGTACTAGTTACTGAGACCATTCGACATTATGCTGACCATCCACTGAATGTTTATTGTCGAATGTCATGTTTGTTTGATTCTTTTTAATTTGTTGGATTGAATTCTGCCAATCAACTTGCAATGTGATCAAGTAACTCGATATTGTGTATGCACTATGTTTTGATATTAAGTAGTAGGCGATAGTACAGTAGAAACTCTAAACTTATGTTCCTTGCTAATTAACGCTTACGAGAAAGTTTATCGGCGGTCTTAACGCAACTGATTCCTATCTGTAAGATTCGGATCCGCGTCACAGTTTGATACGTCGCCGCTAAACCAACTAATAGGCCCATGGCACTGATTAGTAATCTGTGTATTATCTGTCTAGTACTTTCAGCTGATATTGTGCTCTGTGAAATGTGTACATTATACCACTATTCACATAAACATTATGACTCATAGCCAAATTTATTCACATGTGATTGATAAGTGATCAATTACAATAATCAGTAATAACTCATCATATATGGCTTTGTGTACTTAGCGTTCAATCATGCACTAAGTATGACATCTATTGATACTGCATCGTTACCCAAAACTGAAGTAGCTCGAATGGAGTTTGAACCCATGAACTAGTCACTGAAAGTTGAACACATTAATCGTACTGAGTTACCGCTTTCTATATGATGATTCCACATCATAATCGAATAATAACAAGGTATCTTCCAAGGGAAGCTGAAACCTCCGTGATTGCCTACTTAATCAAACCATATAACAACCAAACTGTTATTATTACTCGAATCCTTATCTATTAATTTTTACATACTTCCATCCTTTAGGTAGAATCAGTCAGTCAGTCAGTTACAGCGTAGAACTTCGTACGTACGTACATCATCAGTTCAGGTTGCCATACCATATTAGCACAGAGACGCAATTGTCAGTTCAAATCCAATAGTGGTAGCAATGATAAAAGTATTAGCAGTAATGGAGAAGACTAGGGTTCGAAGATATAATTCGTGAAGTATAATTCAGTGAAATAAATTTAGAAAGCGAAAGATAGAAATGATAAGGAATTCAGGTTAGAATTTGAGAGAACACAAAGAATGAATGCACTAGTGCCATTGCAAGCAATTTCGAGCCTATTTCCTTCAAGGTCCCTAACCATTGGTGGTTTGGCGTACGTACCCAACCACCTCAACTGATGAAGTTTCATTACTTCATCTATTGATCTGTCATCCCTACCTAGTACTCGTTTCTTAACGACGGTATTGCTTACTCAGTTGTCCCACGATATACGATCAATGCTTCGAAGACACCTATGATCGAAAACCAATAACCGACGAGTATCTTCTACTCTCATTGGCCATGTTTCACAGCCATAAAGTAAGACGGAGCGAACCACTGCGCAGTACACTACTCGTCCTTTAGTCAGCAAACGGATATCTCGCCTACGCCATAAGTGACGCAGGTTGGCAAAAGCCAATCGAGCCTTCTATATCCGTGCTGAGATTACGTCAGTCACCAGGCCATCAGCACTGACGAGACTCCCAAGATAAGTGAAGCGATCTACACGCTCGACTACTTTACTCTCTATCACTAGTTCAGTTGCCGTTGCAAGCCAATCTAAAAGCAACCTTTTTGATTTCAAAGGTAAGAGCCGCATCCTGAACATGATTGCATTGTTGCTTAAGGTAGTCAGAAGACTCTGCATTTTCTATGTAGAATCAGAATCTTCTATTCTATCTTAAAAGATTTTATCATTGATAAAAAAAACTAAATGACATTTTCGAATGTTTTTGTTTTTGTTTTTTGATAAATTTTATTTTGTAAAAACACTACGAATAAATAACATTAAGCATTAAAATATTGTTGTCATGGTTTCTCTCTAGCTCTAGCTGTTTACAACCATCATCATCATTAGTAAATAAACCAGTATATACATACATATTTTATATCATTAATTTCAAATAAATTATATTCAATAATTGAAGATTAATAAAATAAAATGATATATATAAGAATTATAAAACATGTTCTAGTAAGAAGCTATGACCAATAGTATTTAACCATACTATGGGTATAATTAAACAATTAGCTATTCGTTTCTAGTCATGATGGATGGTGGGTGGTCTGACAACATTGTTGATTTTTGGACTGAAGTTTTAAATGTTCAACACCACTGGATTTCCACATCATAATAGTTTAGATAGACATTAATCATTCGTGCTCAACATCTCAAAGATGCTGGGTTCAATCCGCTGTAGTAGTAGTAGTAGTAGTAGTGAATGGGTGGGGGGTGTTTTTGGATGTTCACTGCTGAAAATTCTAGATAAAGCTTTTGTTATAATATATAACGCTAATAGAAACGGTTCAATAAAACGAAAAGACATAAAAAGTTACGTAACAACAACAACAACAATAGAGTATATGTACAATTACTTCTTTCAAATGTAAACATATTAATTGTTATAGAAACTAAATATTGGAAACAGGAAGAACAAATATAAGAAACATTAAATCAATACTGAAAACAATATTACTTTTAAATAATACAGTTTAAGCGATTTGCATAGTAAAATGGCTTCAAGGAATAAAAAAAATTTGTTTTTCTTAATAGTTTTAAGTTGTATAAGAAAACCGCAAACTATTATGGATTTGTATCTTTGTTTTCTACCTTGAAATCATGAATGAATCAGTGTTAGACTACCATCAGAAACCTGGAAGCACTCCACGGCCGTTCCGTCCTGATATGGGACTCATCAGCAGTACGCATCCACGAATCCTGCTATCCGCAGTATTCGAACCCAAGGCCTTAGGCCTTGCGCGCGAACGCCTAACCTCTAGACCACTTAGACGGCATCCAAAGGTGTGAATAATATCTAACTTTAATCAATCTAAGAATTTTGCGCGACCTCATCCATTTGTCTTTGTTAATAGTTACTACCTACACCAGACAGGGTTGAACTCCACTGGTCACGTATTTTCACTGAGATCTCCGAGAACCTCAAGAAGCTAGTCACTAGTGAGTATCATCGAGATCGTTTTGTTTACCTTGAAGTCGTGAATAAATTATTTTTTGTGTATTTATTCGTGTGAAGATAACCATCCCTTTTTTGATTGTTCAACAAAAGTGTAACTATTTAGCGTTTTCGGACAATTTTTAGATATGTTTGTTTGGTAAATAAACTGAAAGTTACCACTTAAGTTGAAATCTTCAGTGAAAATGACACTCATATACACCATAACAGGAAAATACTTGGTGTCGTATACACAGATTGAACATTGAAAAAAACTCATGCGCTACAAATTCACAAACATCTATCCTATCTTATTTGTTCTTCTTATTCTATCGCATTATATCTTGTATACAAATTTTCGTGAATTAACAAAGTTTTTCTTTTTTTAAGATGGTTATAATTTAAACTGCTGAAGAGTCCTAAGCTAAAACGCAACATCTATCCAATGTTTCCTAGTTTTCAATCGCTTCCTAACTAAAAATCAGCTCATGATTTGAATTGAAAAATTTGTAATCTCCATAAATCTCTTACCTCTCTCTATTCATGGATAACATCCTAAAAATAGAGATGTATGAAAACTAACACCATTGATCTGCTGTAGATTTTTATTTCCATTACAAATTAGAATGAATTGCCTATTTTTCCATTTCTACGCTTTTCTCTGTTACAAAGGAGAAAAAATATTTGAACAAACAAACAAACATTTGATTGGTTGATTATAACTTGAAGGTCAACCTCTTTATATGTTTATTAATAGTATTATTATCCTCAGTATTCTGTCTATTAGATCACGTGAAAAACCTTGAAACACTTCTAATCTTCTACTAAATGAATAATGAACGAGCATAGTTTTCAGTTGAACTTTGAAATTTTCGAGAAAAAAAATTATCATCGTCTACTTAGTGGACTAACTCTAGCTAAATAGCCATTATGAACTAGGGAATAATAAACAGCTGTTTTGTTTTAGTGTAGTTCTCTTCAACAATGTTTATTTAAAAGTTCCCCATCGGGGTTCGACAAGCAGAACCTATTATATGATAAGAGGTGTTCGAAATTTGAATGTTAATACGTTCCAATACCCGAAACTAGCTAGAGTAGAAGAGGAAGTCCACCTGGCTACCGAATAATACACACAAATACTCATTTATATATACATATACATCTCTTCCTGTTAAGTTCGTCACTAGGTACGCTTGAAGCTATTACGAGTTCATCCGCGTCTAGGTAGGCTACCTTGAATCTCAAACTGCAAAACAGAAGTCTTGATAAGTGTAAAAGTATATTCTACAACACCCAGCAATCACAATACAATCAAGCACACAACTCTCATTTATTTATGCATCATAGAAACGTCCTTAGGACAGTTACAAAAATAGCACACTAAAATACACAGCAGCCAATCACAGCCATGAAGTTTCCTGGTTGGAAATGAAATCTCAAGGTCAACCGATCAGTCCATGCTCGCAAACGTGTAAACCAAGATAAGGCATTTATCAAGCGAGTTCTGGAGATCTAATATCCCCAACACTTCGCCGTAGAAAATGAATCCATTTTTAACCAGTGATATAAACTTCCTCCAGGACATTCCTGATTGGCTTACTATGTTTAACTCTTGGCAAGTTAATGAATAGGAATACCAATTCAGTACCGATACATCAAATGCTTGTTTAGTTCGTATTAGTGTTTCCTCAGTTAGTGGTGTCAGTTCGTTACTACAAAGATGTTTTTACTAAACTATTCCCATAACATAAATATCACAGAAAAACAGTTCATAATGTAAACTGTAAAACACAAGAATTGATTTGGTGAAATAATCCCTTGGATTTCTTGTGATTAGATGCGATTAGTAAAGTTGTCGAATAAAACAAAATTATCCACCTATAAACGGAATATTACCAATTGATTAAAATTAGTTATATAAACTTTGTAGTTCATTGGTTCATTCGTCATCTCTGCCCAATGGTTTAGTGAATCTGAGGCAGTTACCCACCGAAGACAATAGGTGAGGGTGCAAAAAAACCTTAGATTAATCAAAGTTAGACAATAACACCGTTGGATGCTGGCGGACTCAGTTGTCTAGAGGTTAAGTATCCGCCCATGAGACTGAAAGTCCTGGGTTCGATGCCTATGGGCTTGGGATCGTGAATGTGCATAGCTGAGGATATTTCTTACTTTCAAATTAGCATTCAAACAAACTTAACCTACATCACACAATCGATTAACAATAAGTCATATTAAGTAGTTATTTGATTTTATTCTAAAACTTAATTAATTCTAAATAAGTCATAGGAAAACATCCTTAAAATTATTATCGAGGGTTCTTCATCTACTTAAACATAATGTTAAGAATAATTGATAACTATATTTCATGTGTTTCAAGGTGAACTCCATTGTTTGTTGGTTTGATTTTTTCTTAACTGATGGGGACATAATAATAAGGGTCAAGTTTTGAATTCCTTATATGTGATTGTTCGTTTTCGAGAATTTAACCAATTATTCTTTTATTATGATATTTTGAAAAAAAGACAATTCTACTTGTAAATTGATCATTAAAATTTAACTGTTATATCCATATCAGACTATAATGTGATTGACAAATCGAAATTATGTAACAACGGTGAACAAGGCATAACATTGAAAATAAGTTTTTTAAAAGATAGTGGAAAGGCGCGCTGTTTTTAGGAATTAAAGCATCTGCACCATTCTAGACTATTGTAAGTTGTTTAACCAAGTCTCCAACTACTGATCACAGTTATTACATAGAGTCCAACCAACTGGTCTTTACATTGAATAGACCAATAATCACTAACCTTCTAAATTAATACTGTGTATTAATTTGACCATTCAACGTTTTTTGCCCAATAGACTACTACTACTACTAAATCAGGGAAACTCCATTCACTGAAATATGCGATGATTGGTTGAACGCAACTTATGTTTTAACCACTTGCAACGTTGAAGATTCATAACTCTTACCTTTCTCTAACCTCAAGATTGTTCACTCGATCTTTGGACAAAATTAGAGTAAAGCTTGAAAGATGCTTGCTTACATTAAATAAAAAGCTCCTAGCCTACACATGTTATAATAATAAGATTTAGGAAGTGTGACTTATCAGATCGTTTTTTTTCCTAAACATATTACACAACCCAAGTTTTTGTAATTATTGTTTAACAGAATTGATGATTTATCTTTATTAATAATAATTTTTAATTGTATTTTAATTAAGCCTTTGCTTAATAACATACAAACAATATTGATTTATTCGATATTACCAACAGGGAAGCCGTTTAAAAATTTTCATTCTGAATTTCAATCAATGTAAATCAGTTTAGACTAACTGGTTGAAATTCTTGTGATAATAATTAATTATTCATCAAGTGATAAGAGACTTTGTATAACATAACTGCTGTGACTGGCTTTTATCATTGTTGGCAAATAGTACAAGTGAATCGATTATTTGTCTTCTTCAAAAACTTATCTCACTAGTTTTTTATTTTCTTGAATCTTATCTTCACATTGTCGGATGTAGGCAGTAACTACTACCAAAGACAAATGGGTGAGGTGAGGTGGTGCTAAATCCCTAGATCAATCAGAGTTAGACATTAACACCGTTGGACGCCTGTCCAGTGGTTCAGAGGTTAGGCGTTCGCGGGCAAGACCGAAGGTCTCAGTTTCGAATCCTGCGAGGTACAGGAGTCATGGATGCACACTGCTGACGAGTCCCAAATCAGGACGGAACGGCCATGGAGTGCTTCCAGGTTTCGAATGGTAGTCTAACAATGATTGATTCATGATTTCATTGTGTATTTCCATTACCGTTACTACTGCTACCTGCCTCTACTAGTTTGACATTTAACCGGACAATTTCATTTTTCTAACTGTACTAATTGACATGCAATAACAATTTGAATAAAACTTGAAACAAATTTTGAAAAGATGCCAGATCTAAAAAGAAAATCATTCACACAATTAGAATGAAACTCTTACAGATAACCCTTAAATTCCATGTAGACTATGAAATGTGAGCAATTTTTTATTTCAAAAAAGGTTTACTATTTAAAATCATATTTATTATTATTGTCTTTTTTTTCAAAAATTTTTTCTCTTTTTAAATTATAGATTTGTTATAATTTAAATGTTAATTTAAAAGTAGCTCAAGCTAAACGTCATTTCTGTCAACTATTCAATATAACTAATCAAAATGAAATGAAACGTTGTAAATTATTTTATTTTGATCAAGTTATGTCACAAATTCAAGGTCCAGAAGAATTAAAATATCCAAATCGTAATTTATATTCATATCAAATTGAACCAGGTGATTTATTCGAATTAATTAGATATCCAGATTATCGATGAAAGGGAAAAAAAATAAAAATGAAATTACTTGATTGATGATAGTACACACACACACAATCATATTGTGATTTGTATGTTTTATATTTGTCCAATCGATTTCAATCGTTTACTTCTTCTTGTGTATTTTTATGTATATTACAATATACATACAATTAACTTTTATTTTTTTTTCTTCTAATTTAATTAATTGTCTATTGATTTGTTTATTTTTAATAAATGACCATCAATCATTAATTATTATTATCGTTATTGTTCTCTCTCTCTGTGTCTCTGTTTTATCAGCTCATTTTTTTCGATATATACACTAGTTAATGCAATGTACATTTGTACATTTTATTCATTTAATTCAAATTTCCCCACTTTTTTTATTCATTTCACATCATCCAGGTTTGTATCAACTTTTCATTGATTTCTATTTTTTTGATCAGCTCTACATATAGTGTATCATAATACTTCTAGTCTCTTCATTAGAATACTTGAAGTATAGGTTAAAACAAAAAATAACTGTGTTATTATTATTACGTTCAACAAATCTATACTTACTTGATGATAATGAGTTCGTGTATCACCACTCTCTATATTACTTGTCTGTGTCTAGTGTATGTATGAGTGTGTGTGTGTGTGTGAGTGTGTAAATATCTACTACAACAGCGTAATTGTTTTTTTTTGATTCCCTCTTACTTTTATTGATTCAATGTTCATTCTTTCATACTGTACTAGTAGACCATGTATTGTTTGTTTGTTTGATTGTTTTCTTCCCTAACTTTCGAATATCTTTTACAAAGAAACATAACTCTTTGTCTAAATTGTATTTATTTATTAATTCATTAGTTTAGTTTAATATTTTTATTAATAAATCATTCAAATGTTTGTCTCGATTGTGTTTATGTCTTGTTTTTATTATTGATTGAACGGCATATTGTGTGCGTGTGTATGTATGTGTGTGGGTGTATGTGTATGTATTGGTGTGTGCTCTTTTTTGGCAGTTTCCTTTTTCTATTACTTCGTTTATTTTCCTGTTTTATTATTTATTTTCTTTTTTTTTGTTTTCGTTGAGTTTATTATTATTTTTTTTTTAAAAATTTCATGTGTTGTTTTATTGGTTTGTTTTTCATTTCATTTCATACATGTTTTTTTTCAATCCTTTGATATATTTATTATATGCACATATTTTAAATAATAAACTGAAAAGAACAAAATCATCATGGAATTGATTATTCAATTTCAAATAAACAAATGCTCGTAATGTACCGCACAATCAAATGACCTTTAAATGATGTGAGAAATAAAAAAGGAAAAAAACAAATTGGTTAAACCAACATGCTAAATATCATTGTTAAGATTGTTGATTAGTGCTCTTTTTTTCATTTGTTAAATATGAAATCTGCATTACGGGGTTGTGAAGATTGTTGTTAAGTTACACATTTTTTTTTGAAACCATAAATCGATCAATGTTAGAGCACCATTAGAAACCTGGAAGCACTGGACGGCCGTTTCGTGGTTCTGGTATGGGACTGTAAAGGTTAGGGCGTTCGCGCACAATATTGAAGGTCCTGGGTTCGAATCCTGCGGGGTGCAGGAGTCGTGGGTGCGCACTGCTGAGCAGTCCCACCAGGTTTCTAATGGTGGTCTAACATTGATCGATTCATGGTTTCAAAAATATAAAATCACACAAAAAATAACGAGGAAGTGTAGTTATAAATGATAAGTCATTGTACTCATCAGTGAATGGCTTTGTTAGCGATTCACAGGGTTCTAGTGATGAGTAGCTGCAACCAGTGAAATGAGGCGGTTACCACCTATTGAACAGTGGGTAATTACTTACGCCTGTTACCACCCCCCACCCACCGGTATTCTCCAATCTACTCTGTCCTAGACTTCGTTTTCCAGTTATGTCCAGTTTCTGTTCATTCTTCTCATATGTTCCTCCACTTCTCGGTGTGATTTGTTCTTTGATCTTCTTTTCTCTTTGAACTTGAGTGTTCCACGACACGACTTGTCTTGTGATGCAGTTCGGTGTGTCCTACCCACTTCCACCACTATTCCTGATTTATTCCTCCGCTGAGATCTGGTTTGTTCTCCCACAATAGGTTGTTGCTGATACTGTCTGACTGACGTATCCGAAGTATTTTGCGTAGACAACTGTTAATGTGCACTTATACCTTGTGGATGATGGCGTTCGTAGTTCTTCAAGTTTCCGCTCCATACAGTAGAACTGTCTTGTCATTTGTATTGAAAATTCTGATTTTAGTGTCGACTGATAGTTGTTTAAAGTTCCAGAAGTTGTTCAATTGTAAAAATGCTGCCCTTTTTTTGCCATTAAGTGATATCCATCATATCCTTAGCAGCACTCAGTACCAAATTAATCACAATTAAGTCCTTGCACCTCACAATAACTCTCGTGTCTCCACGACTAACCCTCTTCGTATTTCCTTATCACTTTGCGCCGCTAATGCTAACGATTCGAGTACACGGTATTGATTCCTGGTCTGTAGAAACGCCTCTTTAAACTAGTTGTTGCAGCTTTTTATGTCCAGACCTTGTACAAAATAGGACAACATGCTTCCTTAGCTAGGGTTTTAAAATCTCGCGCCATTGATGTATTCTGTTTCTCCGAAACGCGCATACAGGATTTGAGTAGAGTCATTCATGTGACCTCACCTTGACAAAATAAAGAACTCTCTCAATCTACGCTTTGTATGTCTGATAGCCCCTCTACTACTTCCTGTGGCCTCACTGATGTAGGTATAACATTGAGTTCTGAGGCAGAAATAGCTTTTTAGACTAGATACCAGAAGACAGTCGCTTATGTACAGTCCGACCATACGGAACAGTAAGGACTAGGGAAGACAAGGACACTGGTCATTTCCTCTTCGTTTTCTAAGTATTCGCTCCGATTGATTACAGCATAGATGAGGTAAAAAAGTGGATTTTACGGAAATGTTTCCAAACGTCTTCAAAAAGCTAAACACTTTAGTAATACTGGCTGGTAATTTTAATGCTCAAGTACACCTGGGTGGATCGATTAGTGGCAAATAGTAACTTCAAGCTATGAGGAAAAACATCCGTTGACATGGCGACCCCCAAAGTCAACTCGACGCTGAACAAATCTTGACTACATCAAAACCAGCTACCGATGGAGAGGCTTGATAAAAGACTATCGCCCATTCTAGAGCACATGTTTAGATTCAGATCGTGCTCTAGTACGAACACGTACTTGTCTGCGGCATACTGAACGCAAGAAAAACCTATCAAGGAAACCTCCTTCAGTTCTATTTAACCATAACAAAGCCAATAGTATATTTCGGGAACAACTAGAAAACCAGTTAGGCAGCAATGTAAGTGATGTTTACTCCTGAAATTATATCCACAAAGCTTTGGAAGCAGTAATTATATCTGCTAGTAAGAACTGATAGATACTCAGAAACTCAGCCTGTCTGGCTCTGAACACGATTGGAAGCTGAGGCAGCTTAAGTGCAGGATGATAAAAATCCTACGCAATGATTGTGAATGGCAGTGGGTAACGAAAACAAAAGAGATGGAAAATGCGTCGGTAATAGAAAACAGTAGACAACTGTTCGGGAAACGTATTAGAAATCCAACTACTAGCGCGGCTCTCTCGGAAAGAAATGAGACTATTATTCATTCTCAGCGCAGAAGATTGGATCGATGGGCACAACTCTTTAGGGAGCAGTTCATCTGGCCTTCAGCTACATTTTGGTTACCCACGGTCTCCAGTCAACCTGAACTGACAATCGATGTAAGTCCTCCGACTCTATGAAGTTGAAAATGCTAAAGGTAATCGGAGGCGAAACACAGCAGTAGGTCCTGATGGATAAACCTATGAGATTTTTAAGGATGGCGGTCCAGTGTTAGCAATTAGATTAACTGATATCTTAGGTAGAATCTGGGAAGTGAACATAATTCCATATGACTGATCTCGATTGCCTACTTTCCTCTTGCAATAATCACAGAGGAATCAGTTTGACGAATGTAATTTGTAAAATATTAGCTTCAATAATACTTCGATGCCTAACTAGAGCTCGTGAAGCGAAGACTAAAAAACTAAGCTGGCTCCAGACTTGCACGTGTATGCATATACCAAATATTGACACTTCGTCAGGTCCTAGAACATATAAACACATTCAGAAGTTCTCGAATCATATCGTCCATTCCTAATATGTTCGATGACCACTGATACTATTACAACCTCTAGTAATACAGAATTTGAACTGATAGTTCTATCTCTGTGTGCTAATATGATATGGCAACTTGAATTGATGTATGTACGTATTAATCTCATCTGACTGGCTAACTAACTGACTGACTACGTGCCGTGACATCAGTGATAATATATCGTGTTGTTTCACTGATAGTCGATTACTACAGTCGCCTGTTAGGTTTAATTATCATTCACGCTTTCCTAATACTTGTTCAATATAACCAAATAGAATTGGAGTACGCATGTATTGATAGATAGTTAGAATTAATCACAGTATAGATTGTATGTAGTGACCTTGGCTAAATGAATAACTTATATACTATGGTTCACTTATAATTGTACTATATTTATCCTATGATTTGTCTGGTTTATTCAACATATCACTAGTATTTGTTTGAAACCTTGAAAAACTTCACTTTCTTCAAGGTTGAAGATACATCTTATTATATATCTATATCGGTATGAAGCCCATTTTTGTTAATTGCTCTAAACCATTTGAACAACACTTAATAAGATGATTTTTTCTTTGTCTGTTGTGTTGTACGAAGTGAAATCAGATAAGTTACAAACATTCTCAAGGTCAAATGCTAAATCGAATACAATTATGAGTGAACTGTTTTCGAGTGGATTATTTACCAGTCTAGATCAGTCTAATCCCTATTTGATTTCCCAGTACTTCGGTTCTGTCAGTGAAATCACAATTTTCAACTGAATGTTGATTTTTTTCTATTTAGTTGAGTGTGTCAAGCGTTAGCATTAAACGATATAGTAATACTGG